AAATAAAAACTATGAAATTTCACCTGCACCGCGCGTGTTTGTTACTAGTAGTTTTTAAAAATGTTATTGAAATTAAGTCAATTAAGTAGTTTTTAAATTTTTGTTTTTATTTTTTTAATTTAGTTCATAGTTCAAAGGTGTTTGTAGCAGTAGTGAAAAACATATATAATAAATTAAAATGGAATAATGTAGTGAATAACATATATAATAAATTAAAATGGGATAAGTAATGCTTTTAAGATAGAAATGGTCTCATTTGCCATCATCGTCAAAATGAAGTATGAACTTTGATAGTGTCTGTTTGGTTCTTAAACTTTAAAAACATTCAATTTCATTCTTACAATTTTACTGGCAATTATGTATAGTAGTTTAGCCCGTTACATTTAGTTTGTCCATCTGCACTTACTTTTATGTTATGTTATAAAGAGCTAACATTAATCTATTAGAAAATTGTTATATCATTGTTTAGTTAATGTGTCAATATTAAGGGACTACACAAATCAAAGCGAGCATAATTCAGCGATAATTGACCTATATCTCCAATCAAGATGTTGTAAATCTGATCTCCCACCCCACATTTTGTAGTTAAAAAGAGAGAGACCACACATCGCTTCTTAAATTTACGTTCATATTTGTTGACACTTTTTTTAAATTAGAGACTTAAGATCTATAATAATTAGCATTCGTATAATAATAAAGATGCAATTTAACTTAAATAGAAAGTTAGACAACCATTTTAACCCATTCCTTAAATCCACTTCTCTCCCTCCCAATTAAATAGATAGACCGTGCTAAAAGATAAAGATTAAAGAGCAAACACTCAATTATACCAAAGTGAGTATAGCTTAACGGTATTTACTTTATAAATACCATTTTATAATTTTCATTAGGTTGGAGGTTCAAATCACACTCCTTCTTATTGTACTAACAAAATCAAAATGGGAGGCAATTCATATTTACTTAAATAATTATCATTGTCAACACGAACATGACTCAACAGTAAATAACATACACTATTTATCTTTATATATTGATATCAAGTAATATTGTCAAGCACATAGGTAAAGTGTGATGATAAATCTCCGATCAGATGTACTAAAAAAACTTAAATAATTTATAGATTAAAATTAATTTATTTTGGTCTCTATACTTAAAGTAAGTATTTAATCTATGAATTTTAGATTGTAACGATTTAGTCAATGAATTTTAAAATTGGTAACAATTTAGTTTTTGAACCTTAAAATGCAACAATTCAGTCGGGTAGTTTATAGATTGTAACAATTTAATCCATACCACGAATGATCTCATCAGAATTAAATGTCAATTTTTATTATATAACAATTTAATATTTGTAATTTATAAATACACGTGTATTTCGTCAATTCATCCATTTACACATATAAGAAATCCATCGGGTCTTGACAATATTTTTCATCATAAATACTAAAACGTCATATAACTTTTGTAACTAAAGTATTATAGGTTAAAGTTTATGAACTAATGGACTAAATCTTTTAGAAATTCCAAAATGTTTTTTATTATTTAATTTTTACCAAATTATTAATACATTGACTTATTGATGGATAACCTATAGATGACAATGGGGCGAGATGAGACTGGAGGGCCCATCTCCATCCCCGCCCCCGTCCCCGAAATTTTGGGGACGAGGATTCTCCAATCGGAGATGGATTTCACATGGAACCCGTCTCCGCTAAATATTTTATTATTTTTTATGGGAGTTAAAATTAAATAAAATGTGGCTAAATTACAATTGGACTTGAGTTAAAAAAAATAAAATAGTAATTATTAAAATTAATAATAATTAATATTATTAAAATTAATAATAATTAATATTATTATATATATAATAATAATAAAATATTAAACGGGCCGGAGACAGACCGTCCCGTCCCTTCCGGGGACCCTGTTTAGGATCCCCGATTTGATCCCGTTCCCGATCAAATCGGGAATT